CCTTTCTTGATTGCTTATAATGTTCATATGCACCTAGCAATAATAAGCATTTGTAAGTGGAAAAACTGATGGGATTCAATCATTCCCAATTTTACATCATTTTCTTATTAGTATTCGCCTTATACTCACATGATGTCTTTGATAAATTTTTCTTTGCCAATTCATGAAAATATTTTCACTTTTTGCTTTTATGACTCCCTAAATATATTCAAAATATACTTTTGATTTGTAAAATTTGGGGAGTCAACGTAAACGAACATCAATTTCAGTTTGCCCACATTCAAAAATAGGCATCAATCTCAATTTTCCCACAATTGTAAATAGGCATCAATGACATTTTCCCACATTCAAAAATAGGCATCAATATCAAATTTCCCACATTTTATATAGTCATCAATCTCAATTATACAACATCATAAATAAAGATCAAATTCAATTTCCCATTGTAAACACTAACTCAGTAACTTGTGCATTAACTAAAAGAAGGAACTAAAACAGACTTGACCTAGTAATCTGTTGTGCATTAACTAAAACAAGGAACTAAAATTGAAGTAAGTGACCTAGTAAGCTGGGAACCAAAACAAAACTAGATATACAAGAGGAAGAATTTCAACAATCATTCATGCCTCATTGACCAATGGCACACACTAAGGTCAAGGATCAACACGAGATTCATGCTTCAATAATGGACTGGAATATGACTTCATGTTATTTATGAATTTCGAATGACATCAAGTGTTACCACATAAAATTACCTATCTGAACTCCGGTGGACAGGAGGACATCCAAAGTCCCAAAACAAAACCAAAACAGGAAGAAATAGTCCACGGAGTATGCTAAAATATATAAACAAAGAATGCAACTATCAAGCGGCTCAAATTAATAATGACAAACACTTGGATTCCAAGTCCCCAAACCCATTTCACCATGATACCATGGTAACTTCCTCAACAGCAGCAGCAAAAGCTAGCTTCTCTATTTTTGTTACGTCAAATTCACTGCTTAAAAGCTTTGAAATGAAACTTCTTGTTGGAGAACTATCTTAGGGATCCATGAGTGTTTGTGAAATACAAAGTTGACCACATGCTAGACTCCATTATGCAATTGATGACTAAAAGCATAGAAGTTTTCAAAAATGAACTGAAATCAATATATGGATGATGCTACAAACGGAAAAAACGATTAGCAGGTAAAATGATTCTCCTAATAGTAAATTCTTTTTATGAACCAGAAATCTAAGATGCCAATAAAACATAGAATGACTTCCGGGTTTGAAGAACATCAATACTCCAAATTTACATCGTACTACCTCCATGCCTATTTACAAGAAACATGTTACAACTACCTCGGGCCCAGAGGTAGTATTGATTAGCAAAGCCCCACCTCAGGTGATGAGAGATGGGATATGCTACATGTCAGCGTGAATAGACCAAGGACAAGAATATATCCGATTATTTTAGAGAGGCTTTCTAGATGCCAATGCCAAAGGTAAAGCAGAATATACCTCAACTACAACCACAGTAATGCCAACCCATTCGCACATATCCAGATTATCTTCAAGGAAAGATTTAACACTCTGAAGTTCACCAGTTTGATCAAATGGAATATCCTGTAAAGGCAAAAACTAACACATTCTCAATTTTTGAAAGAATACAGTGTAAGCTAACACAATCATATCTATGCCAGGAAGAGGGAAGGACAGAGAAAACGAACCTCTTCCCAATGATGATCAACAGTGATGAATGTCACCAAAGTCGCCTCTAGTAGAATTAATACTGTGATGAGTATGTTATACTGGCATTACAATAGGTGAAGGAATAAAAATGGAATAAAAAATATCAGAAAAGAATAACTGGAATTTATATTATTAGGAAAAAAGCAAAACGAAAGAATGAATCACTAAAGTTTAAAGTAAAGAGCTAATCCCAGAGTTGCACCAAAATTCATTTTAAGAACAGAAGGTGCTAAAATTCTCGGAAACAGTAAGGTGGGAAAATAGAAATATTCACTTTAAGCAGGATACAAAAGCATAGGCAGAAGCCATTAAATGCTTCGGCCACAATGCAACCAATAAAGAGATGAAGCACATTAATATGCCCTCTCCCATGATAGAGTAGATGAACCTGCGAACGATGGAGAAATGTAGGTGAACATACAAAATAGACATGCCGGAATACATTAGTAATCACCTCATGTTTTTATTTTATCATTCAAACTTTGTTTTTCTGATTATTTATAAACCAGAATAAATTTAAACTTGTGAATTTCTTTGCAGGTTCTTCTATGTAAACTCATCATTGCTGCTCAGTTCTTTCCTCAATGTAAACTTTTAAGACAGATCATCAGAATGCCACATAAAGAGGATTGCAACAACAAAACTTGCCTCCCTGAATTGTTTAAGCCAATACCCCTCAATGTCACATTTACTTCCCACCTTTCTGTGAAAGGGTACTCTACATTACAAATTAAAATAAGTTCCATAAGTTTATACTTTGTCATCACCTCCTAATCTCTAACCACAAATGCAAATGAGCAAAATGCCATTTGTCATGAAAATCAGAATAAACTATCGGTATTCTGATATTGATAGAGGGAGAAGTTTGATCAATCACAATTTTACCATTTGCAAAATCATGGTATATTCATAGATTTAAGGCTGATTCATACAGAGAAGCTAAAAAGAATTTAATACAAGGGGAAAAAAGATTCCAAGCAAAGATAGGCTAGATTTGCAAGATACGAAACAATCATTTTTAAAGGAAACCAATGATGTACGGTGTAAGTATAAACCACCACTCCTTCCACGACTTCCAGCCTATTCCTACAAAATTTCAAAACAGAATATCATGAATAATTCCATATTATTCATCACTAATATAAACATGCGCGCGCGCGCGCACACCACTCAAAGCCACATTGCTCATAGGGCCTGAACCATGCAACTTTAAGCCTCAGATTTCAGGCAATAAACTGGGCCCAAGACCTAGTTTAATTTATTTATAATCTAAAAAATCCATGAAAACAAAAGGCCACTAAAATCAGAAATAGCATCCTTCCTCTTTTCAAAAGAAAGAAAACAAACAAGGAAAATGGATATAACAACAAACTTTTAGAAGATATGAAAACTGGGTCAAGTTTGCAAGAGCAATTTAGGCAACTCTGCATGTCAACTTCAAGCCTCTGAGTCAATCTCAGTTTTCCCACATTTGTAAACATGTGTCAATCTCAATTTCCCCACATTCATAAATAGGGACCAAATTCAATTTTCCCACATTTGTAAACAAGTATCAATCTCAATTTTCTCACATTCTTTTAAAAGGCACCAATCTCAATTTTCCTCCATTCATAAACAAGCATCAATCTCAATTTTCCCACATTTGTAAATGGGCATCAATAAAAAATCTCCCACATTCTTAAATAGCCAGCAATCTCAATTTTCACGCATTCATAAATATCTCAATTTTCCCATATTGGTAAATAGGCAGCAATTTATGTTTGCCCACATTTGTAAATAGGCATCAATCTCAATTTCCCACATTCTTAAATAGGCATCAATTTCAATTTCCCACGTTCATAAGGATGCATTCAATCTCAATTTTCCCCCATCAATCTCAATTTTCCCACATTTGTGAATAAGCATCAACCTCAATTTTCCCACATTCATAAGTAGGCATCCATCTCAATTTTCCCACATTCTTAAATAGGCATCAATCTCAGTTTTTCCACATTCTTAAATAGGCATCAATCTCGACTTTTCCACATTCTTATATGGGCATCGATTGCGATTTTCCCACATCCACAAGTAGCCATCAATCTCAATTTTCCCACATTCTTAAATGGGCATCAATCTTGACTTTTCCACATTCTTATGTAGGCATCAATTTCAATTTTCCCACATCCACAAGTAGGCATCAATCTTAATTTTCCCACATTCTTAAATAGGCATCAATCTCAATTTTCCCACATTCGTGAATAAGCATTGGAATCAAGCATCAAATGATGCAAGAGTGCATACATAAGAAATTTGACAAATTATATGTAGGGGGGCTACAAAGCAGCAAAAACATGAAAAGTCTAAGCTGAAGAGAAAAAGTAGACCCCTATTGTTATATTTATGCACTTTAACATAAGGCATCAAATGATATAAATGTCAATAAGCCTCATAGAAGTGCATTGAATATAAAAGCTCAAACATCAAAGCAAGTACATCTATTTACATTAAAAAGCTGTCATTTCCCAAATAGCCACCTATGCAATTCAGAGGGATTAGCACACATGAAAGAATAATTAAGGAACCTTTGGATTTCAAGTTCAAGCCTCTAAATGAATCTCAATTTTTTGACATTCGTAATTCATTCCTTAGGGACAAAGAAGTCTGCGGTTCCCCCCCCCCCCTTTAAAGTTCCCTCAAATCAATCCTAGCATACTCACGGGCTCACAGCACAAGGAAAAAAAATCCGCAGAATCAGCAGCAAACCAGCAAAACAACTTTGAATAAATTAGGTTGGCAGGATAAGGAATTCACAACTGAGAAGTAGACAATTTCCAAGCATTAATAAGATTGAGAATATCACATTAAACTAAGATGTCAAGAATCATATCCCAAAAAAAAAAAAAAATACCAGAGCTTAGCAAGAGACAGGAAAGGGATGGTAAATAAAAATGGCTTCTTTGATTTCAGAGAGAAGGAAAGAGTTAGAAACATATCCGAAATATACATGTCAGGAAAGTCCTGATCTTATACCAAAGTACCACGTCACACTTACTATATTCAGCGAGTACACAACCAGTGGAGAAAAAATTCAGTTTTTGCTTGAGAAGACTGAGCATTCAACCCTCCCTCCCATTCTCAAAGCCATTAAAACTTATAGAGTAGAGTAAAAGATCTTCTGCAATTAAAAACAGAACAAGAAGATGGTATGGTCTTCTCACCAAAAAAAAAAAGAAAAAAGGAAGAAGATGGTATGATATGCAAATATAATCCTTTCAAAGAACTCTATGGCCTACATTTGGGAAGGTCTAAAAGTTCCCCAAGAATCACAGCCTTGTAAGCTTGTTTTCCTAAAATTAATGTTATTACTTTATGAAACTTGAATTAGAAGTCTCATAAAATGATTTCATGATTTTTAAAATATGTAATGTGAGGTGAACAAAACTACTCACGATCATAGCTTAAAGAGAGTGTCAAACTAGATTCCAGGTCTGCAAGCATCCCAAACTCGTTAAGAAACAAACTTCTCAAATAGAATACGAACAAATAATTCTATCTCCTAGACGGTAAATCGTAACTTGAAATGCTAAAGAATTCAGTTCCACTAACATCCTACACCCACACTTATTTGTTCCCCAACAAGTAAACAGAAAGAACTTCAAATGCTGCAAATTTAATGACGTTTCTCTGTGATTAAATCAATGGATTTTGTGCAATTTGTAAGCTAAAATCATGCAAAACATAGGATCAAATCTGAAATATATTATTTCTGTTCTAAATTCTACTTCAAAAAGGTTGGCACATGCCGTTGAATAGATTGAATGCCAATTAGCACGTCGAAATGAGGGCTTTAGTCCGATGACAGAGAGTTTGGGCAACACAGTTGATGGGGCAACAAATCTTAAAAACCTGGGAATGGAATTTCCACGAGGTTTAGATCAGAAGAAAAGGGTGGAAAATGTGGAAAGCATTGAATTTCGACCAGGTTTATATATCATGAAAGTCGAAAACAGAAAAACGTGGCAAAGAAGACCCAAATGCGAAAAACGTCTACCGTTGATTTCAAGCCCGTCAACTTTAGTGCCGTCGTCCACCGAGCTCGGTCAAGCCAGCCGCCCGCTGTTTCACCATCGTTGTTTACTTCGCAGAGCTCCTTCAAGAACAGCCCACTGTCAGGGGACCTATAAATTGTCCCGCGCACAACGGTCGGCGCCTAAAAATGACCGTTGGATTAGGGTTTTTGGAGCCAAATGGCGGTTCTTGCCTAAAGTAAGTAGTCACAAATTATAACTCCAATTTTTTTAAACGTGGAAAAGAAAAGGAAAAGTAGGAATTTTCGGTTGCTCATTCGCAATTGCCCCCCTGTTTTTAAAAGTTGTTTAGATGAAATATAAAAAACTAAATTTATTTGCCAAGAAACAATTGGGAATCATATTTATTTACATCATCTCTTATAAAAAAACTAAAAGTTGTTTAATAAATTATATTTTTATAATAATATTATCTCTTATAAAATATCTTATTTTTAAAAAAAATTTGGGAATCATATTTAGTTACATCATCTCTTATAAGGATATATATTTTTACACTGTATCATATTTATTTTAAGAAAATTTATAATTAATTAGAGATAATAAGTAAAAAAATTAATATTTTTATTATAATAATATTATAAATATAATCAGGATACGGAATTATATATGATATATTTGTCCGTAAAATATTGTTTGGCTTTTATAAACCATTACGCATTCTTGTCTTGTTATTTATTTTTTATCAATAATTTTTTTTCTGCACCTGAAACTCTCAATACTTCAAATATATTATAGGAATATTTAGATAGAAATTAAATTATAATTTTAAAAGTAATTTTACAGTATACAAATTAAATATATAAAAAAAATTCTCGATTTATGTGATAGTACTTTTTAAAAATATTTTTTGAGTAAACCAAATACCCCCCACGCAGCGTGTGGGTGCTTGTTGAAATTTGATGTAAAACTTGCGTCTAGGTTGATTAATAGGAAAATTATTATGAGGTCTTAAAAAAATAATTACTAAAAAATTTAATAATAAGTGAGTAATTATTATTTTTCA